TACTGCCTCCCAAGTTTAGCTTCAACTCTTTTGTTGTGTTTGGTACCGATTTGGTAACTTGGGATTCTTACTCCAATTGGTTTCTTCTTGTGCCGATGACGCTGATCAACGAGCATTTCTATCATAGCTTGCTTTTAATAACTTTCTGGTTGAGCTACGTGCGTCATCTATTTAAGTGCCAATGCAAGCGCTTGAGCCTTATCAATAATAGGCTGCGCATCTTCAATGCATCAATGAGTTGCTCACTATTCACATTCTGATGATCGTAATCTAAGCCAAGTATGTGGCTTGCCATCGGCCATTAGGACTGCTCCATCTTTTAATGGACTATGACCAAATCTATAAGCAATACCTGCATGAGAGTACACCCGTAAATCAATGGCACCATGCAGTGATAAATAGGTAACACCATGTATTGATGAATCAGCAACCTTGAGATTCCACATATTATTTTTAGAAACTCCGCAACAGATATCAATTCTGAGGGTATTGATCAGTTGACTTTTCCTCTCTCTGGCACAAAGAGTGACAAATTTACATGATCAGCTTGTCAATTTTGATCTTTCAGCAATGCAACTATTGGCTGATCAAAGTGACATTAAACATGCCCTTAGCCCAAGTTGTTCCTTCTTCAGTGTTGTTAATGCTTTTCAATATAGTTTACATGCATTGTACTGTACCTTGTTTTTATTTTGAATATTAGCTATTCTTGTGATGAATCTGCAGAACCTGTTATATGAAATTGCATTTTAGTTCATAAGATGAATATTCTCCACTAATTGCTTAATAAATTGAAGCATCAGGGGGATGCATAAAGTAAGAAGGCCGGTAAGTCGGACACCTCTACCAATTGAGATCATTTTTTTTTATATCTGTGTTATTTCTTGTGCCTTTTGGAATCTTCTTTGAATCATCCAAGTCTCAGTATTTTTGCAACTTTTGATTTCTTTATCCTGCAAGAGTGTTTTTAAGTAATTGTCGAAAGGGGTAAAAAAAAGTTACAAGTAATATGGAGGCAAAATGTCAAGAAAGAATATTTTCCATTTTTCAGCTTTTTGAAATTTTGGATATGCTGTATCTAATAGTGGTTTACTTGCATGACACAATTGTCCTATAAAAAGATATAAGCCCACAACTTATGTTTCGAAATGTACATTAGTACATTTCTCATAATTAGCACATTGCCGGTAAGACACCTTTTTTTGGGGCGCGAGTGGTGGGGCATGTAGTGATAAATATTGTAAGATTTGTTTTTCTCATAATTAGTCTTAAAGCATGCATAATCAAAAGTTGCAGAGATTTCGTCTGAACTGTTGACTGACTATAAGATTTTGATGCATATTGAGTTAATCCATCATAGATATTTTGATGAACAAATGATTAGAAACTAGAGATGCATTCAGCTGAGGGCCTTATGACTTTGAAATTTACAATGACGACAAATTCTCAACAAATACCTTTTACAACAATTATATTTTTTAAAGTTATTAGCGGTTTTTTTCTCCATTTTTTGGTGGGAAAATAGAGAAAGTTTGAGCATGCAATTCAAAATGTAATGTATTTTCAAATGGATAAATTACAATTAGCAGTAAATTATGTCAGAATAATTAAACCAAACTATTTAGAAGTCCAGTAGTTTTAGAAGTAGATTTGTTAATTGGTAACTTAATTAGAATAGGAAGTGGTTTTAAGTTTTATAAATAAAGCTTGCTTAGAATTTGATTAGTTGGTCTATATAAGGACGTGGATTATCGCGTTTGTAATTGAGCAAAAATCCAAATAGTTTGTGTTAACAAAATTGCTCCTATACCTTCTTGTTCATTCGTTTCTGACCTCCGAAAGTTGTTCATTGATTTCTAATTCTGTCAGATTTTGTTTTCTGATTTCTGATTTTATCAAATTTTATATCTTTTGTTGTATTTTTTTTTTGCGCTAATAAGTGGTATCAGAGTTTTAAACTCAAGAAATTGATCATGGAATGCCCGAGGTGTTGAGTTTGTAGTAGATTATTCAAAGATTGAAAAATTGGACCATGAGAGTTGATCTTGAGATGCTTATTTGTTGACAATTAAGGAAAATTGATTCTAATTGGATTGAGGTCTATAAAAAAATGACACTGTCAAGATTGCTGGTGTTGATAGTGATTAAAAATTCTATTGAATAATTGAGTTGTACAATGATTGGGAAAAAGGTCGTACTACATTGTTGATTGAGGTATATCCTACAGAATAATTGAGGTGTAAGCCAAGGAGGCTAAGAAAGGGAAGAAATTCAAACAGTGAAGAAAAAATTGATTGTGCTGGTCCGTAAATTATTTTCACGTTGCAACAATGGATAAAGAATTTGTCAATAGTGAAAAGTTTAAAATTTTGCACAAAATGAGTACTGATAAAGAAAGACTAGAATCGGCTGCAATAATGGAGAAATATCTAGAAAGGTGTATCTTAGACCATATTTACAAAATAAATTTCGTAATGGTTTAACAAAAGAAGATAAGAAAAATAGGCAAAATTGTTTTTCAAACTTATGCAGAAATCCATGGCTAGAGAATTTTATAAAAGATTCTTTATTGATTCTCAATCACTTTAGTTATTTTGGTTGAGCCTAGCTCTTTTATATTTTGATGGAGTTTTCATACGAGTCTAATCATAAATCAAAAATCGTTTGACACAGAAAAGATATACGTTTGTTGATGATGGAGAAATTTGTGAAATATTTATGTGGTTGAAGATTTTAATTTACATGTTTTATTTGGGATGATTGATGGAAAAGAATATCTTGGTGAAAGTTCTGATTTTGATGAAGAAGTGAATGAAATTTTTTGTGGGATGGATGAATTTATTAGAAATTTTTGAGGTGAAAATTATTTGAAAAAGGAAAGGCATGATTTAATGTTTGAAAATTATGTGGATTATTATTATTAAAGAAAACATGGTGGCTCTAATCATGAATAGGCCAATATGGAAGACTTCTATGATTAGAAAGAATTAGTAGCGAAATTGTATGCAAAGTATTTGTCAAATCTACTCTAACACAAAAAGAAGAAATTGAAGGATTTGATGATAGTCTGTACAAGGATCTGTGGATTCTCACATTGGCAATTGAGTAAATATCTAAATAGTTTGTGTTAATAGAATTGCTGTTGTATCTTGTAGTCCTTCGTTTCTAGCCTTGAAACATTGTTTGTTCTTTTCTTAGTTTGTCCAATTTAACATCATCTGCAATTTTATGCTATTAGATTAGCAATCTGTTATTTTGAAGGGAGGAGTGATTGCTTGGGTAATTTGAAGGAGGGAATGTAAGTGAGAGATCCGAGTTCGATTCTTCTCAAACATAAAAAAAAAAATATATATATATATATATATTATTTTGAAAGAAAAAAATTGAAAAGAGAAAATCTTTGCGCAGCACAATAGTGTTCAATCAAATCCGAATATGGGCAGCAGCGAAACCGAACAAAACGACAAATATCAATCAGATTAGCAGTCAAAATAAACAATAAAAAAATTAGTAAGAAAATGGGCATCAGATATTAAAATCCAGTCAACCCGGTCTAAGCCCATTTATAAGCCGAAAAGGGGCGCTTTCTATGATCCATAGCTGCCAGGCTTGTCATTATACAATTTCCTTCAATTAGAATTTTCTTAACATACAGTAGCATAGATGAAGAGAAAAAGTTCCAACAATTGGGAATATAAATGAAAAAATGAGAAAGACTTGGATGAAAACTCACTTTCTCAGTGTTCTCGAGTGGTTGAGTTGATACTAGGGCTGCTGCTATTGAGTCAAGTCGAGCTCGAGTAACACCATACTCGAGCTCGAATTCGATCTCAATCAGTATTACTCGAGCTCGAACGAGTATATAAATTTGAGCTCGAGCTCGACTGTGAGAACCCTGAAAATTGACATATAAATATCAGTGCATACTTTATTTGCATTTTAATTCTTTAATAAATTTTAGCACGAAGTCCAATTGTTTTTAAATAAGTATGTAGAATTAAACGTTATGTGCAAAATAAAAGAATTGTGCTAAACTACTAAACTTCTTAGTTTTGTTACATTAACTTCATATTTCGATGGTAAACTATTTCATTGATCTAATCATTAATTACTTTGAATTCTAGTATTGTAACTAATTGTTTTGAAATAAAAGTGTAAAGATAATTTCTATGTAATAAATAATATAATTGTGCCAATATTAAATTATTCGGTTTTGCTATACTAAATTAATATTTCTTGAGTTAGATTAATTCTATTACTTTAAAATAAATTCTTTGATTTCCGATAACTAGTTTTAATCGTTAATAATGTTAAATGTTAATAGGAATTTCCACGTTAAGATGAAAACCAATGAATTTTAGATAAATATGATTCTAATATACTAAACATACTTAATGCGTGAAAATTCGATAAATATATCCTTATCGTTCTTTGTTTTCGCAATAAGTGCGTAAAAATAGTTTTATGTGCAAATTGACACCTTGGATTTAATTATTATTTCACTTGACTTTATATTACTAAATCAATAAATTTCGAGTTATACTAACCCTATTTCTTGAGAAATAATAATTGGAAATTCTAATAATTAATTTAATCGCTAAATAATATAAGAATTACTAGGAACCTTAATATTCAAGTTTAATCGATAATTATTCGATAAAAAAATGGTTTAGGTATATTAGGGTATAATTAGGCGTTCAAATCGCACTTGGGAATAATTTTTAGAATTAAGTCGGAAGTGAGAAATTAAGTTGAGATTGAGGAGCAAAGTGAAAAGACTAAAATAACCCTACCTTACCTTTCCATGCAAACCAAACGGAACCTCTGACCGCAAATCAAATCACGCAGCTATTACCAATTTTGTACGCAACCCATTTCTACACGCAAACCATTCTCATAAACCGCGGCACCACAATACCATCCTTTCTATCTCACGGCTAAAACCACAAAACCATTCACTCTAATTCACATTTCATATCACAAACACAAACCGCAACTTCCTTTCCTTCTCTGCACAAACAAAACCGCAAACCATTTCTTTCTTGATACCGAGATACCACTCTTCACCAAATCTCATTTCCTCTGCACAACTCAACCTCCTCCACCCACGAATCATCTTCACTTCACCCCACCTCGTGACCATCGAAGGAAAGGAGAGTGAGAGGGACGTAGCTTCGGTATCATCGACAAGAAAAGAAAAGGAGGAAAACCGCGAGCTGAAGTATTTTTCTGGTTTGTCCGTGATTTGATGGAGAGATCTGAGAGCCAAACTTCATCCAATCCAGCCGCAAGTTTGAGCAAAGGGGAGGAAGATTTGCGGGCTGCAATTTCTGGATAGCCGAGAGGAAGAAAATTTTGCAGCTGATTGTCGTGTGAGCTAAACCTTAAGCTGAGGTAAACTCTGGTCCTAGACTAGCTAATTAGAGATAAATGAGTTGTTTAAGAGCTTGCATGTGATGGTTAAGCACTTGGACGATAAAATCAAAGAATAAGAAATCTGATTTTAACGGAGATGGTTTTGCCGAGAGCCTGTTCAGAAAATGCAGTCCTTAATCTGCTTATTTGAACAATCTGAGCTCATAAATGTAATTAGCTAAGTAAAAATCAGATGATTAAGTCTTGCATGAGGTTAATCAGTCGGCTAAGCAAGAAATAAGGATGTAACAAAAGAATTTGCTGCATGCAAGAGCATCCGAGAATGGTTGAACAAAATTCTGGAATTGTGGATGATAGTAGTTGCTGTCCGAACTTGATTTAAACCAGAGCTGATAGTAATTCCACTAATTAGTCATGCATGTTGGTTTTGAGTACCTAATACAAGGTTTTAGCTGAAGAAACTCCAGATTTGCGTCTAACTTAGCTGCTGGAAATTTTCTGGAATAGCCGAGAGACTTCATGTTTGTTTGCATTTGTAATTGCTGTCAAATGGAAAATTTTGTTATAAATTGCATATAGATTATTAGCTTTAAGTATTAAGTGAAGTTTAATGGAGGAAAATCTGAGGAAAAGTTGAATTGTGGATTGAAACCGAGGGAAATTTTCTGCTGCAAAATATTCCAGCTTGGTCGAGAGAAGGAAGTGAGCATTTAATTAGTTTTGTTTTCGAATTTCAATTCAGATTTTCGTATTGGCTGTTTAAGATTTGCTTGAGGCTTGCTAATCACCTGTTGCATGTTGAGCTGAGGTAAGAATTGAAGAAAACTAGGAACAAAAGCTATATAAATAAACTATCAATTGCTGGCAACTTTTATCTTAGCTGATGACAGATTTATGGGGACTTTTTGGTGGAATAATTTATTGGAATTAAGCGTTATTTGCTTTGGTATATGCTGGTATGAATATCATACTTAAATGTATGATGATTTGAATAAGAGTATTATGGTTTTAAAAGAGGAAAAGGAGTTTTTCACAAGTGAAAAATGAGTTTCCAGATTTTCGGATTTCTCTGACCAGTCTCAGTAAAATGCTTATATCTTGGTGTAGGAAAATCCGATTGAGGTGCCGTCAGTGGCATTTGAAACTAGAGTCATGGGCCTTTGTTTTGTAAAAATTTCATATTTTTCCTCCATGTGTACTGCTGTCCGTGATTCCTCAAAGTAGGCTGTCCTGTTTGAATGTCCTGTTTCCTCAGGAAACTGAATTCTTGACTTGGATAGAATATTTGGCCCATTTGTGATTTGAATCTCTGAAAAGTGTCTTCTGGGATGTGATAGTATTAAAAATCTATTCTACAACAGTATAATTTTCATAACTGTTTGATTTGTGGAACATGAACTAAAGCAATTTTTGAAGGAAAATATTTTTCCAGCATGACCGAACTGGTTGGGACTTTTGGTGAGTTTATTTGCTGGATTTGTGTATTATTTACTTTAGCTTGGTTTGGACAGATTATAATCTATATGTATAGTGATTCTAGCAAATAAAAGTGGAAAGTTTAATGGATATTTTAGATTCTTGGAATCATTTGGATCTCAAGTTGGTTGTAGTTTTTGTTCTTGTTTTGAATGAATTGGCATTTGAAAGTGTGTATTGGTTGTCAAGAGCTAATGATTGATGAAGCCTTGGCCATTTGAATGACTTTATAAGTACTACTGGATGATGAAAGTTAATTGCTGGAATGTCTTGGAGGCCTTACTTTTATTTTTTATTTGCTTATGATGGGCTTGCTGAAACTAAGTGCTAATGATTGATGAAGCCTTGGTCGTTCAATTTTATTTTTATCAAAAATGCAATTGTTGAAATCTAGGGCTAATGATTGACGAAACCCTAGTGATTTGCTATGTGATTTTGCCATATTTGATCCATAATATGATTGCGAAATGGAATCAAAACTGTGAAAGTCGTTTCGACCTTGCGAACTCGAGTAACTGTGATCAAATTAATCAAAAATATTTTTCCAGCTAGTATTAGATTATAAAACTCAATATCTAGTGTTTTGCCTAAAACTTTCCAACTCGATAAATTTTCCTTTAGCTTAAACTAGCCTTAATAGTTATAGAAAATAATTTCTCTAGCTTTTGAAAACCCCAAGTCTTATTTTAATTCCTTTTCTTTCTTGAAGATTTGCCTTGGATAGTTGTCGGTAGGAAAAGTTCCAAAATAAGAGTTTTAATAGCTTTAATTAAAAATGTAGAAACTTGCTCAGCAAGAAACTTTATTTGAGATAAAATAGTTTTTAGTGACAATTTTTACAAGAACCATAGCTTAAAAGAAATCATTCGAAGTATCTTTCTAGTTTTGATATTAAGTGGTTTGTCGATTTATCTCAAGAAAATAATACTAATTACCTTTTATAGGGAAAACTACAAGAAACATTTTTACTACTTTTGCCAAGTTTCAACCTAAGTAAATCTTTGAATTTACTTCGAAACGATAAACTAGTTATATACTCGATAAACCTTTATAGTTATAAACCTGAAACTTGAATAGAAATTGAAAGTGTTATATTTGTACTTTAAAGGTCAAACTTGATTTTAATAATTTTAAATAAACGGCGCAGAAAACTTGTTTGGCAAGAAATCTTATTCAAAGCAAATTGGTTCTGGTTTGCACCTCTAGAAAGAAAGAAATCCTACGAAGTATTTCATCACTTTCATCAGTTTAACTCTAGGGAAATTGTTGATTTATTTGGAGTAGATAAACTAGTTATGTACCAGATAACCTTGTATTTATAAACCAAGAACCCGTATAACAACACTTATAGTTTTAAAACCTGGTTTTCTAGGGTATTGCGAGGACGCGGAATTCGATTCCAACTTGATATCTGACCTCCACTCTTGGTGAGTGTCCCTGCTTGTTTTATGCCTATGTGGTTAAGTGCTTTATCAACTTGCTATGTGATAACTGTCAAAATGGGTTAAATGGTTTTTGATCCATCGAAGTGAGCAATGTGTACTTTATCGCACTAGCCGTTCGAGTGGTGGCTTGTGTGAATCATTTTTTTTTTATGAACCTAAATGTAGTTACGTCGTTGGGTGAATTCCTCGACGCATGAATCTAACTACCATAAATCTAAATGTAGTTACGTCGTTGGGTGAATCCCTCGACGCTTGAATCTAACTACAATAAGTCATTGGGTGAATCCCTCGACGCATGAATCTGATTGCAATAACGTCATTGGGTGAATTCCTCGACGCATGAGTTTGATTGCAATCACGTCATTGGGTGAATCCCTCGACAAATTTTATACGGGTATATCTCGAGTATACTGCGTCGGTAGACGAAGTTCGGGCCCGAAGCAGAGGTATGAACGGTGACGGGTTAGGATTAAAATAAGTGGATCTACATGGACTATAAGTAGTGAAAGTTGACGGAGGGTCAACTACGAGGGTATCTGATCAAGCGAGGAGAATGGCTCCCGAGAGCCCCTGTATCCTATCTTGTACGGTTATACGCTTTCTTAATTGATTAAATTTGTTTAAATTGTTATCCGTTGTTTGATTTATGTGATTGCATGTTTTGGGGCACCACTGAGCTTTAGCTCACCCCACGTTTATTGTTTTCCTTAACAGGTCCTGGAAACTGAAAGCTGGATGCTTACTTATGTTTTCCTTATGGATTGTATTTGACTACTATAACTTATTCTGTGGGCTGTAATGTGTTATTTGGGATAATGTACTTTTCTTTTTGGATTGCCACTTGAAGCTGGAAAATGTGTAAACCCTAATTCGATTACTTGGTTTGTAAGTTTGTATTTGGGATTTATGTATGTATCTATCCGGATTGGTGCGACTTTATACTTTGGTACGTAGCACGTAGGACGTTTAAGAGCATCGACTGGTTATTTTATCACTGCTATCTCTGAAGTTAATGTGGCTTTAAGGATGATCCTATTCGGGAAAAATTGTTTTGTAATATATTAGGTTATTCTTCGAAAGGATTCGGGTTAGATTGCTCGCGTGAGTCCTGGCGAGAGCTGGGCAGACGGCCCGCCAACCCTTTGGTTCGCCTCAAGGGGAAGTGGGGTCGCCACATCGACTCGATAAAATGAAAACTAAACTTGAGCTCGACTCGTTTGAGTTCGAGTAAATATCAAGCCTAAGCTACTCGAGATTGAGTTCCTATTTTCTCGAATCCAAACTTCCAGATTCATGTTAACAGGTTTGCCTTTCCAATATAAACTAGAATTCCAGATTTCCAGACTTCGAATATAAACCATGACTAACAAGTGTATATAATGAAACAGGTTTGCCTTTTCAAATTCATCCCAAATTACAGATAATATCAGTTAACATCCTCACAAATAAAAGTTAACAAGATATCAAAATAGGCTTGAACCACCGCCAATCAGTTAACATCCCAAATTAGTGTCAAAAGTTTCGAGCATTACAAAATACAAAAGTAACAAGTCAGCTTGAACTATCACTGATCAGTCTATCAAGATATTAAAAAATGAACAACCACCGCAAGGCAAGCACACAAGATTCCAGCATGCATCAAGATTCAAAAGGACAAGTGTAACCACAGCTTGTTTAACAAAAGAAAGGTGCTAATCTGCTTGGCATTCCAGTATGCATCAGAGGCCAACCCAAGATTCAAAAATTGCAGTCCTATCAAGAATGCAGTTGTATGAATTTAAGGGACAAAAGTAAGAAAAAAGCAATTAAGAACTACAAGATTCCATAAGGACCATACCACTAAACCTGGCTGTTTGAGAGACATCTTAATACTTTATGATAGGTTGCAATTTTATCATTTATTTTATAATTAATTTCTCCTATTACCTGACCCGATGTGGATTAATTGTTGGATTCTACTCACTTTTAGTATTTTGCATTTATTTCAGGGAGTAGAATAAAAATATCATAACAAGTGCCAATTTGGCAGTTATCAGGAAAGAGTTCAAGTAACAGGCATCCAGGGACATTTTTGGAATATCAAGCCGTGACCCTTCTTGGTAAATTGGCCGAAAACAGCATTAAAAAGAAGAGGGTTGGAGTCTTCTATGGCTGGGCGGCGGACACTGCACAATAGCAGTAGGAACTAGATATTAGATTAGCTTTTCTTTGGACTTTTCTTCTTTGTTCTTTAGTGGAGACACTTGGTAGCATAGATTTTGACTCTTCCTTCTTTTGCTTTTTGGTAGTAGTTCTCCTCCGTGAGCCATAGGAATGTCGCGCCCCACTTTTTGATAAGAAAAAATTAAGTTAGTTTAAGAAAGTGAATTTTTGATTTAAAAAGAAAAATGAAAAACGTGGGCCTAAATGGGACTTGAAAATGCGACGATTTGACCCAAAATATAGTTTAAAAGGGTTTTAATGAAAAATGGAGTCGCCACTTGGTATAGAGTTAAGGTGTACCAAGTCACCTAAAATATGAATTTTTAAAGAAAAAGTAGAAAAACCCTTTTTAATAGACTCCAAGTCTACGAAAATCAAAGAAAAAGATTCGGGAGTCACATTTGAAGAAAGGGAAGGCAAGGATAGGCATCCAAGGCACCCTTTCAACCTAGCCAAGGCTAGTTGCGCGATTTAGTCAAAGATTTTCCTATTTTTAACCTAAAGATTTATCGCATTTGGATGTACTCTATGAATGCAAAACCTTGACCTAAAAGGGTATCGGGGGGTCGAAATGTATCTTCAAAACTTATTTGGTACCAATCACATTAATTGTGACGCCCAATAAAGACTCTTCGAAAAAGTCACGAATAATGCAAGTCATGAGACTCGAAAGAAAGAAAAAATAAAGAAAAATAATAATATACAAATGTGTATGACCTAAAGGAATGCATCATAATAGGTGCGGGGAACTAATGTTCGTGACTCCAATGTTCCCTTTAATAGAGGGAATACGAGCGTGCTAAGGCTAAAGAGCCAAACTCGTCCATATCCCATACCCAAGGGGTTTTCCTAGTCTAATCAAGCAAATGTACTAGCCTAGGTCAAATGCTTAGATGAAATGCAAGTCTAATATCATGTTTCATACAAAGGGGTAAGGAATATACATATAAGGGAAAATATGGGGGAAGGGATATATGTATAAGGAGGGATGTCATGATAAAAGACCCTAAAAAGTGAAAATATGCATGAGATGAAATGATAATCATACAAACATGATCTAGCGAGGGAAGTCCCTAAGGGTCTAGCGTTGGACTAGCCCATGTCTATGGATTCTCACTAGCATTGGACTAGTGGGAAATCGGAACAAAGAACCACAACTAGCGTTGGACTAGCCACGGTTATATCGTACATTTGCATTCATCATATATATACAAGTAAATGAGGCATAATTACAGCAAGTAGGCATGTGAGCATGAAATTCACATAACACGTAAGCATGCATATCTAGATGCAAAAACCTAAGAAAGCGGTAACACATAGCACATAGACATGCAAATCAAGCAAGGCAAATAAAGTAAAGGAAGCCCTATCTATTACATTAGGGGGGGCCTACTACAATCTAAAGGGGAAATAAAATGAATAATTAAAGATAAATACCTAACTATTACAATTGTGGCATTCAAGTGCCTTGCAAATGATTGCAAATTAAATAAAAATAAATGCACAAAAATAAAGTAAACCAATAAAGAAAATAAAAAATTCAAAAAGCATGCAATTAAACACATAAAGTCACATAGGGGCACATAGGATCAAATGAAGTCAAAATAAGGGATAGAGTGTACCTCCCTTGAGTTGGGCCCCTAATGAAATGAAATTACTTATTTACCCTCCAAAAACAAAGAAAAGGTCAAGGCATCACTTTAATTAATAAAATAATCACATGAAATGGAAATAAACATGAAATTGAATCACTCAAAGCGTTCAAATAAACTAAACAACTCATATTCATCAAACTTGAAAAACAATGACCCGATTGAAACAATTAAAAAAGTTAAAAGGACCAATTTGATTGATTTTTCCAATTGTTCGGGCCATAGAAGCACAGATAGAAACTAAGGGGAGCAAAGTGCAATTTTGGTAACATGTTCATGCATGCATCGAAGAGCAACATTCTGCATTTTTTGGCTATTACGGGAACTTGATTTCCAGCAAACATTCGAGCCTAAGCTATGTGCCTTTGGACCAACAACACACGAAATCAACACCAGCGATTCAACTTCCTTTTTTTCTACAGAAGATCACATAGCAAATTAGGTGACAAACCCATTTGGTGGGCTGTTGCCGGAAAAAACACAGCAAGTCATGAGAATGAACGCAGCTTTTTATTTTACTTCAGCTTGGATATGTTTGTGCGCAAGAAACTCCAAACAAACTCTATTGGACAACCAAAACCAAGTGCTAGGACTTATCCCATTGTCATTAACATGATCATCTATCCTAGAAGATCCAATCAAATCAACTAGACCAGAAATGCAGCAAAGAGAGGAGTGAAACTTGCGGTAAAGTCAATTATGCACAGGATCGAATCGTTCCATTGAGGTAGATAAATGAAACTAGACTATGAACCAAGGACATGCAACTTCAGCTTGGTCGAAGCACAGCAAAAATGCAGGAGGAATAAAACAGGGAGTGCCAAAGCTACAAGTTCTTTCCTAGCTTCTGGTTTACCGAAACCTTTTGCAAAGAGAAATCACCCTCCAAACACTGCAAACTTGCTCATTATCAAACATTGGACCCAAAAATGAAAAGAAAAGTTGCAGCAATAAAACCGACAACTTCAAGCTTATTGCAGCAAACATTATATACAAAACATTCTAATGGCCATCAAACCGAGAGTTCAAGTAAAGAAACAAAGCGACAGACTAAGAGGTCATGCGAAGTCTGTAAAATTTTGCAACTCTTCTATGTTTACTCTATTAGACTCACGGACCGCACAAACCCATCTCCAGTCTAACAAAGTCGCGCAATCATACAACCCAACGCTAAACAAACCCAGTCAACAGCAACAGGAGGCAAAACTGCGAAGCTTTGCTATGTTTTCAACCTCGGCAAACATCACACAAGTCAAGCAAGCATAACAGTCCCGCTGTGAATCATAAACCCAAACCCAAACTTAAACCAAACCTACGGAAACGAAAATGAAAGGCTACAAGCGACAACTGAATCAGCAGATAGCAAAAGGGTGCAAACCAACAAAAGAAAACAGTTTCTAATTCTAAGAGATAAGGATATTACCTTAATCACAAAATGAGTCGGGGAATGACCAAGAAAGGATTCGGATGATTCTGCCAGGCCTTCGAAGGACGTCAATGGGAGAACAGTGATGATAACGCAGCACCGTCCTTGCAACCCCAAATCTCCTTTCTTCCTCACTCTGCCGCCACTCTACTTCTTCGCTTCCTCCGCCGTCACTGGACTTTATATATGCTCGTCTTTCCTCAGCTGTCCCGGATTCTTTTTCATCTGCCATTCCCCTGTATTCTCTTATCTCTTATCCTTTCTCTCCAGCCCTCTGTCAAGCCCTAGCTCTCTCTCTCGCTCCCTTGTCTTGGGCTTGCGGCTCTCTATTCTCTCAAAGCCCTCAGCTTTCCAGCCGTCATTAGATTCTACCCTTGACCTCCCTCCTCTCACTCTCGATTCACTCCCCCGTAAGCCTCTCTTCAGCCTTCAACCGCTAACCCCCAGCTCTCACTCTCGTTCTCTTTTCTTTCCTGCCGTCCCCTTTTTCTGTCTCAACTCTCTTAAAGCCCTCAGTTTTCCAGCCGCCAACACTCTCTACCCTTCTATTTTCACTCGTCCCAACTCTCAGCCGTTACCCCCCAAACTCTCTCTATCTCCTCTAAACCCTCTCAGACCCCTTTTTTTTTTTAGCCGTCAGCCCCCAAAATCCTCTCCTCGTTTCTTTCTTTTGCCGTCAAAAAACCTCTCTCCCCTTTTAGCCGTCCAAAACTT